AGGTAACAAAATATACTCATGGAGAAACTCCATGGGCCTAGAACTTAGTTACAAAGAAAAGCAAAAACATCTTTTAAGCAGTGCCAGATCTCAGATCCCATACCCAATCCTTAAAACAATAAAACCTAACGAAACTACCTAAACTTTACCCTACTTACAGAAAATGAAGAATGGTGTCTTGGAGAGAGAGAGACATGCTTGTCCCTCTCTGTAGCTGCAGAGAACTCTTAGGGAGACAAAAGGGAGGAAAAAAAGAAAAAACCCAAATTCCTTTGTCCCAGTTTGAAAAGTCCCACCTACATTCCTATTGGTCACTCCACCTGGTTAGGTGTAGTTAACCCCTTAATCCCCAGGCTGCTGGCTAAACCTCATAATCATGACAGAAGCCCTGCAGGGAGGGTGGGGAATGACCCCCTGGGGCTCTTGTACATTTCAAAAAGGGCTTTCAAAGGGAAGCCCTGCAGGGAGGGTGGCGAATGACCCGCTGGGGCTCTTGTACATTTCAAAAGCAGAATCGTAGCAGAAGCAGCACTAGTGTAGACTGATTAAGTCCCCGCTCAAGCCATTTCCACTGTGCCTCTACTTCCCCTGCGGAGATGGTGCTGGAGGGAACTGGCTTTTAAGCCGACTCCCACCCCAGCACTGGCTCCGGCTCCCCCACCTTGCTGCCTCTCTGATAGAGGCAGAAAGGGGTGGGGGAGCAACTAGTCACATCACTAGTCGACTATCCAGTAAGTTTCTGCTTATTAGATAGTCGACTAGTCAACTAATCTCTTACATCCCTAGGAGCAGACAAAGGTTACTCCTTTGATTATAAGTAACAAAACTCCTGAATAATCCAGTTCTTTCCCCCAGCTAAATCAGCCCTGACTGCCCCCAGGATCAGAGCAAAAGGAAAGGGGGAGAAAGGACAAAGAGCCACTTATGTCCTATGTCCATCAAGCAGAACTTCAATGAACCTGAGTATTTAGCCCCTTTTAGGGCAGAGTCCATTCATGTAAGTAACACTGGGGGAAAAACAACAACAACCCTGAATACTTAGAAAAAAAGACTAAGAAATGGAGATACTGATCATCTCTATTATAGTTATGTCATAGGGTGCGTCTAGACAGCACCCTTCTGTCGGAACAAGCTATGCAATTTATGCAGTTTATTGCGAGTCTAGCTCGAAAGAGCTTATTTTGAAATATGGTGCTGTGTAGACAGCGCCAAATTTCAAAATAAGGCACTATTCCAACAAATCCCTTAACCCTTGTGGAATGAGGGTTATAGGGACCCCAGAATAGCGTGCCCGCTATTTTGGGAAATAGTGGGAGTGTTTAAAGATATGGCGTTGCTATTTCAGGATACTTCTGGCATCCTGAAATAGCATCCAGTCGAGATGTACCCATAGGATACTAATGCATGCTTTGCTCATACCCACAGAAAATATGACAGACCGAACAAATGCATGATTCAAAATATGACTTACAAACTAACGATTATATTTGAACAAGGCAGGGACCAATGTTACTGCAGAAATAATGTGCAGAATTGGTCAGTTTTAAAAACAGAGGAGAATGCAAATGAAGAAAAACCATGGAAGGAGTGGGTAATGTATGTAAACAGTGTGCACATATCCCTAAAATGTGAAAACCTATTAGCAACAGTAGCAAGAGGTAAATTTGTTCAATCGAGTGGGTAATGTATGTAATGTATGCACATATCCCTAAAATGTGAAAACCTATTAGCAACAGTAGCAAGAGGTAAATTTGTTCAAAAGCTTATATAAATATTATTTTAGGAGAATGGGGCAAGCAGAACAACTGTTCTGATTAAAAGATATGGGGACTTTTTTAAAGTTTTTTTGCTTTTTCATAGGATTCGCTAAGGCTGGTCATTGCTACTTAAATGTTAATGCAGTGATATCACATTGTGTTAGAAAACACCAGCTCCAATTGCAAGAAACATTCCCATATTAGCATAATCCAGATGTTAAAGCTGTCTAGTAAAGAAAAAGATTTTGCTATAAGCTTAATCTTAGAACACTGGTTCTCAAACTTTTTAACCCACAGCCCACTCCAGTCGATGCAAACCTTTCTGTGGACCACTAGCAAACCACCCGTGATGACAAAATGTCTTTGCTTATCTCTTAAATACTAAATTATTCATATTAAGCTACTGGAGCATAAAAATGTAAATACGCAGCTATAACATGCCGAGTTTATATAAGCAATAAGAAAGTAATTATTATTAATCAAAATCATTGAACAGATTAAGCACTTTAACTTTATCATGTTAGCTTACCAAACTTTGTGTTAATTTTTTACATTAGTTAATGTATGCCCAAAATAAAAGGTTTTAACGCTGACTTTACTAATGTAAAAAATTAATGAATGCCCAAAATAAAAGGTTTTAACGCTGACTTTATTGGAGGGGTGCGGAATCTTTTCTAGGTTGGGGACCACTGAGCGACAGAAAAAAAAAAAAATCAGTCAGGGCCACACAGTAGATAGAAGAAAAAATAATCGTCACTGATGTGGCTACTGAGACACCTCACTCTCCTCATGCATTCCAGCCTCACAGGGACTGGGGAAGGAGGAGAGAAGTTCAGGGCTCCCCACAGGCAAGAATAACTCTGCTGGGGTCCCAGAGCTAGTAATTTTGTAGGCGCCCCCAGGCTTTGACGTGGAGCCAAAAATGAGGGGGGTCAGTGTGCCCAGGGGGACAGCTGAAGAGCAAGATAGGAGTGCAGGGTCAGGATGGGAGGTAGGGTGCAGGAGCAGACTGAGGATGAGAGGTCTGACTGGGAGGTGGAGCGCTGAAGCAGAGTGGGGATGTGGGGTCTCAGTGGGAGGGCAATGGGTGTGTGGAGTTTGGGGATTAGGGGGTGATTCTGGCCAATGGGAACAGCGAAGAAAGTCTCCAGGAGAGTGGTTTCCTATGCTGGCATCTGCCCACTTGGGTTCAAATAGTGACTTTCCCTCAGCTGGAGGAAGAGGGAGTGGCAGCATGTGGAGCCACTTCCTCCCCCCATGAGCCAGATCCGGGGAATCTTCCCCATTTACCCTGCAGTGGGAAGCCAGTGCTGAAACTCCAACCATTCGGAAGGGAGGGAGCAGGGCTGGACTGCCAATGTAGTAGACCACACTTTGAGAATTACTGTCTTAAAGAGCTATTAAAGCTAATCCCGGTAAAAAATTTCAGTCAAGAAATCAAAAGTCCTCAAAGTAACAAATATAAAACCAGTAAAACTGTTTTATGCTATTTGAACGACAGAAGTAATCAAATGTCCTATTAGCAATTATAACTGCAATGAACATGTTTTACTGACAAACTCAACTTACTCATTAAGTTTATATATCTTCTCTGAAAAAAAGACTTCATCTAGAAGCTTGTGGATATTGCGCCGTTCTGCTGCTAACAACACACCATCATTTGCTAAAATTCCCAGACAAGTGCCTGCATGGCCAATTGCTTCCATAGCATATTCAACTTGATATAAGCGACCTAAAAAAGAGGTTTCAATTGTTAAATTCAACCATTTAATTCTGAAAAGGACCAAGTCTACAAAGTGTTGAGTATCTCATATAACATACTAAGCGTAACTCAGCCAACTCTCACAGATGTCCCCATATCACAGGAACAAGTCTAAGACTGTCACTTAACAGGTCAGAATCAGATAAGCAATTCAATGAACACAGTGGCAGGTTCAGATAGAAACAAACATTGTCCTTAGAGAGACAATTAATACAAGTTATCTACAAAAAAATTACAAAAGCAGAAACGGAGACAATTATGGATTTTTCAAGATTCAAAATGGAGTTGTAGACACTTCTATGAATAAATAGCATCAAATGTTACTCTAGGTAGGATACTATTGTATGGGCTATCAATCCTCATGTGCCAATAACTAGGACATTTTTTCCTTGTATCATTCCAAAATGTAAGATTGTACTACTAAACAATGGTTTGGATTTTGTATTAATATTAAAATTAAAGCATATCTCCACTATGGCCAGGAACTCCCTTATTGTTTTGGGTATCATTTAATGTGAAGGTCTGATTTCAGTGTCAGAAATGAAACTCAAGGAAATTGTCAACATTCTAGACTTTTACATGTGTCACCTATTGTATAAAATTTTAGGTATATATGAGGAGAAAAGTTGATAGGTTAAGAAGGTTCCCATTTACAGAACAATACCTTCTGGAGAAAATATAGTAGTTCTGGAATCATATCTTCGAGACTGTAACAAAGAGAGAAAAACTCCAGTAACTGTTTTTCCTTTTAGACAGAAAAAACGTTATTCTGTAATTCTGTTAACCATGTATAGCAGTAACATAGTGATTTGACTTTAATATCTGTGAGATGTACAGGTAGTTTTGTTACTATTATTGTACTAGTTACCTTTTAAAAACTGAGAAGCCCTGTGGCACTTTGGAGACTAACAAAAATATATATAGTATTATGAACTTACCCTTTATTGCTAATCAAGAGATGAGCGTTCAATTTACACTAATGTCAATGCTTTTTCCTTTTATCCCTATCCCAATCAATGTCTTCCTCTCACAAAAGTTGTACAACCAATACTGTAAATACTTCTGCATGTGCTTAATTTAGGTAAAATTAATGTGGGCAAAGTTAAGCAGGTGTATAAGTGTTTTCAAGAATATAACTTCTGTTATTTACAGTTATTTAGCTGCAGAGAGCTTAATGATACTACTGTACTAAACAACAAAAATATATTTCATTAATAGTAGCTCACCATTTTGCATGTATGTTACACTGTAAAAAAATAAAACCAGTCAATTAAAATACGTTTTCAGAGCATAACGTTTATCAGACACTGAAAATGATGTACAAAAATATTTACTACAGTAATAAGCCTTCGATAAAAGAACCTCCATTTCTTTATTGTTCTTATAGAAGGATTTTAAAAGGTTGCAGTTAAGTTTTTAAGAGTCACGAACTTCAGTGACGAGCTAATTAAAGGGGAGCATGGGACTCACCTTGACAGGTGGTAGCTGAGCCCCCAAAAGCCCCTTTCAATGCACTGCTGTAATGCAGCAGCCCAGTGCTTTCTCTGCGGAGCAAGGGGCGAGGCGGGGGAAAGTTTCTTCCCCTCGTTTTCCCAGAAACATTCCTATTCCCAGAGAAAACTTGGGACAGGCAAGACGCCATCCCCTGCACAACTGGGAATTCAGTCCCCCCCCCCCGCCCGTCTTCCCGGGGTGGAGGCCAGCCCGAC